TACGTAAAATACAGACAAACAGCATTCTTTTCTTGTACATAATCAAGCTCTATACATAATTCAGTATGTATGTAATGTATAGCGCCTAATGTTTGCTAATCAAGAACTAGGACTCTCCGGTTAATGCGCCCGCCGCTTATTAGGCCCAATTTGATCTGGGCCCCAGGTGGGCTTAATAACCGGTGACTACTGTATCACCACAAAACTGAGTCTAAATGCATGTACAATAGGGCTAAAAACTCGGTTCGATTATAGTGGCAAAACAATTTTTGTATGATTCGAATTAGTGCCGCTTGATTTAACTATACATGATGAAGGCAGAGAGCAAGACTTGGGTGGCACGTCCCAGTCCCTTTGTTACAACATGATAGTTCACAAGGAAGGCCGCGATGCGCAACTTGTAACCTCTGAATAAGTGAAATAGTGGCTTCGTTAAAACAAAACGTTGGTCAGCCAGAATTACTGGAAGTAAGTGTTGGCATCTTCGCAAAATCAGGAATAGGACATCAGAACCACGATGCTGTTCACATTCTTTGTACTGTTACAAGAACAGCAACTGTTACTGCTTTGCAAGTGGCTCCGGAACGTTAAGGTAAATATGTCACTTCGTAAGGAAAGCCATTTGTGTAGAAGATTGTCTTTAGTGAAAAATGGCCTGCTTACAACAGTACCACACTCAAAATGGTTGGTTCAGAAACCATATTTGCATTCCTTAGAAGAAGAGAATGCCTCGGTTTCCTAACTCCTTAACGCCTCACTGGATAGCTACAGCAATAAGTTATTGATTCCGTAATTGTTTATTCCTATTTTTTTCCAACGACAGTGGAGGTAAAATTTCCTCCTCTGCAGAGCATCCGTGCTTCAGAGTAATATCAATTGAAAGTAGTGTCTGTCCAGCTTATCACGTTTAATGATAGGCATCATGCCCGTATTGTTGACTTGCATTTCAGACAAAACCGAAAAAACCGGTTACATAACAACGAACACGCAATAATCAATAATTATCATCTGAAAGACAAAAGAAACTGAAGCGACAACCCCGTCCGTCTAGCATCCTAATTATCTGAACGGGAGTTCGTAACTTTCGTCGTCTGGTTGATGGCCATGACAATTAAATGGAAAACTATTAATCCAAACCTAATCGATGTTGTTGTTAATATATTTCCAAAATCGATCGTTTGTTATGCGTAATTTTTATGTAAAGTTATATACTCCCTTCGCAAATACATTTTCAGCTAACCAAATGGTATCAAACAAATTTTAACATATTTCGACTGACCGAACCGGCAAGACCGGTTAAAACTGAAGTATGTTAACTTTTGTAGATAGGTTACAGTCCTCTCGATTAATTAGTAAATCAGAGCCTTTTAGGACATAAGTTCTGTGACATTGATTTCAAGGAACACCTAATATTGCAAAAATAGTCTCCAATTAAACATATTTTGGGTGAGCAAGTTGTTTCCAAGTAAAAAAATTGCGGCAAAAATTAGTCATCAAGACAAAAACTGAGAAGATGATATCCATGAATTCTTTAAAATGGTTGAAGGAAGACAAACTGGACATAACGCATAACTGTTATTTGGAAATCCTTCTTTTAATGTGTGGAGTTAGCGCGCCATGTAGTATCAATCCTTCGGTTTGTGCATGAATTGTGTGTGTGAATTGAAAACCAATTTTGGATTTTACTCCTGGTTCCAGGCCAAACACTTTCCCAGAGTTCTAACATAGAACCTGCAAGGCTGTCTGTTGACAAGATAACTTACTGACGCATAGGACTGTGATATATTCTTGTAAATACTACAAAGAAGATTTCTAGTTTTTGGTCATTTGTACTTCCGATGACGTTCACATCGGCCCCCAAGCCTGGGCGAACGGGATAAGTCAGTACGACTCAGCCGATAAAGAAGCATTTATGTCAGACTCTCTAACCATGAGCCACAAACTCACTTCCCGGTAGATAAAATTGGAGCACGCAAAGTAAACAGAGACTGGCGTTTTGCGCCGCATCACCAGCTTATAGGGTGGGCATGAGTATTTCAATTCTATCGTTTATTTATGAATTGAAAGCCCTTTCGAGCTGCCACTCAATGACACGCGAAGAACAATCACGAAGAGAGAATATTCGAGGAGAGAAACACGAAACCTGGCCAGTTCTGACTGCAAACTTAGTCACCCTTCAATACCAAGTAAGCGTGCAAAGACTGAACCCAAGAAGAACTTTATCAATAAACAGTTCTCTTACGTGTCTTGAAATATTCTAGATCCCAGGAGGCAAGTAGTGAGCCCTTAGATCGGTTGATTAATGTGACTCAGATGTAAGAAAATGCAAGTAGACACTCCAAGCCATTGCAAAATGTGGGATTGTCATTGATATGTTTGTTTGCAACCATTTAAACCCAGGTGCTTCCGTAATTTTCGGACAAAAGACTGAAGTAGGTAGTGACTTACTTCTGCGTGACATCC